CTCGCTCACTCGCTCACTCGCTCGCTCGCTCACTCACTCACTCACTCACTCACTCACTCCCTCACTCACTCCACTCCACTCTACTCCCTCACTCCACTCCACTCACTCACTCACTCACTCAATCACTCACTCACTCACTTTGTGCGACCTGACTGGGCTCAAGTCCCCAGCATGTACAAAAAGACGGCACAATTTTGATTTAACGGTTCAGTCGTTGCCTGTCGCTGTGAAACCTGAAACTTCAGGTTATCAGCCGTAGATAGTTCTGATGGCACTGTTTCCCCAGACCACTACTGGAAAAGCATTTCTGGGGATGAGGAAGCCAATGTCCAGAACTATTTCACGCTGTTGCTCCAATAGAGCCAACAAGTTAACATCTGAGGCAACAGCTATGCCTTGGAACATGCGGTTGAGGAACAGGGCGAAGCCCGACATACAGCTGTACTGGATTTGATTTACAGTCAAGCCAATATGCACATCAGGACGCTGGAAGCACACGCAGATGCCGTGCACGCAAACAGGTTGGGATTTGTCCGACAGAGCACGGAGGTCTTGGTACAGCTCAACACCGAGATGGAATGCAGGGGCGGAGGCATAACAGTTTCAGTCTAGGCTGCTTGGCAGCGAGACAGATTGCCATGAGGAGAGGCAGGCAGCAACTCGTATCACCACAAACAACACGTCGCTTACTACTCGCGTGCTGCACTTCGAAACAACTCTGAACCCCTCGTGCTGCAAACAGGGTGCACATCGTTCGGTTCGAACAGAACGCAGCTTCTTGAGTATTTCGCGCAGGAATATGCGGAAAAGCTTCAGTGGGAAGAGAACGAGCATGCCCACAGGCTGAGGGCTGAAGAGTTGCAACATGATGATTTGGCAAGTGATTTGATGGATCAAAACGCGGAACTTCAGGCCAAGGCTGGCTCACCAAGGATCGAACTTGCCAAGCAGCGAACTAGCCCAACGCAAGTTGGACCCACTCCGGAGGGGTTTATCGGCCTAGTTAATGAGCCGTGCAGAATCCAAGCCCACCGCAAGGTGGTGCCACATCGTCTGTTGCTGGAGTTCACAGCGTTTGGAGTTGGGAGTTCATGGGCCCTCATTTTGCCCAATCCTTACGTGGTTCCCAAGGAATTTGCCCAAATTCTAGGCAGGCCTTAAACCTTCAACATGGGCCAGTGACACGAAGGGCCCAACCGAGGTAGATGAAAAGAGGAATCGAACTTCTTCGTCGAAAAGTCGTATCATTTCAGGTTTGGGGATCTCGATCAGCCTTCAGAGAGATGGATCGGCACGACAACCTTCTATCTCAAGCATAAGTTCGTGAAAACCATGTTCTTGAACAAACCCGAAATCTTCGACATCCCGCTTGAAGGCGAAGGGTGGAGCTTCATCAACGCTAAAGGGCTTTATGTGCCTGCCCTGAGCAAGGCCCCAACGATGCGAATGATGCTTTGAAATCTGCACTCCACCAGTGGAAGCAGATACGAAACGTGAAGTTCACATTCAGGACCTGCAGGGAGCAGTGTTTCTCCTTTCATTGGCCGAAGGGCGAGGCGCCATATTTCATATGCCCGAGCGGCCGCAAGGTGCAATGCCAAGTCCGAGGCAATGTCCCAGTGTTTGGCGACAGAGGACCTTTGTCGGCATGCCCGGCAGCGACATCTTCCGCAGAGGACCGTAGCAAGTTTGCACGGACTTCGGTTAAGTCTGAGTCGGGTTTTCGGTAAATGGCTGCCCGGGCTGGCACGCCGCACCAACAGCAGGGGAACCGGAAGCACCTAGAGACTCGGCTGGGTATGTCATTGATAAGATGGAAAATGCGATTCCTCCTATTCCAGGGGTTGAAGCCCGCCAACTGTTGGACAGTTATCGGTGGGAATCCTGTTGCCGAAGTAGGACATTCTCCCAAGACCTTGCGTACTCCTGCACCAAAGTTCGCACGGCATCGTATTCGTACGACTTGGGGATACAAGGATGACGAATGGAAGATTGGAGGATTCAGTGAATATTGACGTAATTACCTAAGGGCATTATTGCAAGTATCACTTTGTTTGCTTTGCTTGAGGTGAGAGGAAGCCCACGCCGACAGCGAAATCGAGCCCATTTCAATACCTGAGTCCGAAAAGGATGATGCTTCTTAAGGGCAGAGGCGACTTCCATCGAGCACATGTTCACCCATAGGCCAAAGAACCGATTTTGTCACATTTGTCAGCGTGCAACGACCATTCGCAGCAAGGCGTTGACCACATCGTCTAAAGACTGCGGGTTTCAGGACGAAGCTGTTGCCCATGTCATGTGGTGAAGGACGTATTTACGAAATTTAGGTACGTTTACCCGTGTCATGCAGACATGTTGCACTTTCTCGCTGTTGACGACGAAGTGGAGGTCGTGCGCTCCGACAATGCCCTTGAGTTTGATGACACTGTAAAACAGGGCGTGCCCGCCACAACACCTCCTTAGGGAGTACGTGGGCGAATGCAAGGCAGTCATTGAGCGTGAAATCCGTTCCCGTTTTTGAAGGTACACGGGCTAATCTAGTGCAGTTGCTGGCCTCTAGCAGCGCAGCGCCGTGCCATGCGTCTTAACGTTTCTATGAGACTAGATAATGGTCAGGTCCCGCGGGAGTGGCAAGCGTATTCCGTTTGGAGCCAAAGTCCTTTATTGGGCGCCCCCAAAGCAGAAGACGGCTAAGAGATCAAAGTCCGCGGGCGCTGGTGTTGAAGAATTTTTCTTGGATACCACACTCAGCCGGGATTGGTCTTCAAGACAAAGCATACATTGACATCCAAAATGCAATGCTCTGGAGACTGATGTGCTGAAAGTCTTCCGTACAAACCGGCTCGAAATATTGGATGGTGACTTTAAGTTCCCACTTACTTCCGAACAGCCTCATGGTAAACCGCCAAGCCTTGATGCTCAGCACCGCAAGGTGATCGAATCGCAAAACCCGCGTCCTCCTCTCGTGGAGGGGGGCAGTGATCTTCAGGCGCTGCGGACGGAGTGGAGATAGAAGACTTGCTCATTGATCCTGAAGATTTGATACCTTCAGAAGATGCGAAAACTAGTGTCGCCCGTGAGGGTGAGTCGAAGCCTGATCGTGCCCCTTTGCTTGACGATGTGCCTTCGATTAAACAAGAAAGGCAAGAACCGACCAGATGGTATTGATCATGTGTCGTGGAGGAGCGTGTCAAGAAGACAAAGGGCCGAAGCTGTGGCCGAACATGAACGAAGGATTCAGGCGAAGCACGAGGCTGAGTATGAGGAGGCAATGAAAGCAGTCCCGACAATGCCAGTCATGAATGCTAGCCATGAGGATCTTTGAGAAAGGCCTTACAGCCTTTACGTACAACCAAAAAGCTCGTTGAGGTGTCCAATGACATGTACGCCGTCGTCGCTAAGGTGCTGTCTTCTGAGGAGGTCGCTATGACCCCTGCACCACAAGCAGCATTGGACAAAGAATGGCAGAAGTTGGTCGACAAGGCATGTTGGATTGAGAAGAAGGTTAGGGAATATGATTCGGTGGCAAGGCAAAGGAGCAGCGAGAAGGTTCACTTTGGTAAAGGACCAACAAGAAGTATAAGCTGTTGCCACCTGGGTACCGTTACCGAGGAATCGGTGGCCTAAAGCCTGGAAGGGTACGAAAGGCCCCGTGGTACCTTTGAAGCTTGCCCTTCACGGGCACCCGGATTCTGGGGGCATGTGGGAGAAGAGTTGCGGGACCGAGCTTAAGAAGGCAGGCTTCGAAGCGGTTCTTACAGACATTGGAAAGCATGTTGTACTACCCGAAGAAAACTATTACTGGTCGTTTATGTTGACGATTTCAACCTCGCCGGTCCCGAAGGCATCAATTTCGAGCGTTATCGACATGGACTTACCGGATGTTATTGGTCGGTTCTTGGGTGTATGCATAAGGAGGAACACAATCTCATGCGCCCCAAGGACACGCATGATTTTCGCCATGTGTTTGAGCCCGAACCGAAGCCAGCCACCCCAGCTAGGTCCACGGCAATGTACAGTGGTTGCGAAGTCTGACAAACACATTATCGACGATTGCAATAAATCTCGCGATCACTGTCTTCAGGAAAGGTGTGGTGTAGCACACTTGTGTGCGAAATGACAACTTCATGCTTTCATCAAATCACCGGTCGGATTGCGAGTGGATCTGCTGAATCCGATTGAATGCGAACTTATACTCCGTTGCCATTTGGCTTCGTTTCTGTTCAAAATTCTCTCTTTTCCCTTCCTGCGGGTGTACTGCGAGAATCCGCGCGACTTTTGTCGTCATGGCTACTCGTGGCAGCAACTCCTGGTTTGACTTCCTGTGCGAAGGGTCCTTGGTGCCGCCGAGTATGCCGACGCAGTTCCCCGAGGTAGTGGAGAATCCGTATGCGCTCGAATGCTGGCTTCGAAAACTGCGACGGCAGAACGAAGTGTACTTTTCTGCTCCCCGATATTGTATCGGGAACATGGGTAGCGCCGGACCTCATGTGCCATAAAGTGGTTCCAAGGCATCTGCCATGACACCGGTAAATGCTGAAGTCAGCACGGCCACACCTTCGACGAGGCTATGGGAGCCGCAGACCGAGTACAGACCATGCTCCCAGGCAGCCGCGCTCCTTTCTCCTACGATTCCGTTGATGGTGGAACCCTCGTCAATCGAGCAGAGGCCGCCAGGATGATTATCGATCGGAGACGATCAAGAGTTGGAGATTCGGTACGAACTACATTCGTTACTACGACTATGGATCGTCTCCGATGATGCTGTTCGAGTTCGAGCCGAAGAGGAGCGACAGCTGGAAAGACGAGGAGTACCCCGTGCTACTTCGCCGATTGGTCGTGGCTGCGGTGTTTCCCTTCGTCGAGGAGTTTTGCGGCGAGTCTCTTCCACGCAGCCCGCGTCGTGGACAGATCGGAGGGCCTCTACGACGCCTCGATCCTCCTCCCCGCCGACGAGATCTCAGACACCGCGCGCCAGCGTCCCCGAGTCCGCAGGACCAGCTGCTCCCCCGCTGACAAGACCAACGTCGAGTGAAGTGGCACAGGTGAAGGCCCGGCCCAAGGCAAGCCTTCGAGCAATGGCAGATGTCCTCGATCGCCAAGTCCATCGACTCCAACTGAGTTATTCGGCATTACAAAGAGAACGCTGAGGTACACTCGGCGATGCAGGTACGTGATTGAGTTTATCGACCGATCATCCCCTAAAGGGTTTACATGGACATCGTGTGTTTTCAACTTTATTTAAGGGCAAATCCCGACTTCACACCGACAAGTACAACCAAAAGGATTCGTACAATGTCACATTCTCCTTCGGTGACTACACAGTGGGGCATTGTGGATTGAACGCGCCAGCAAGTTGGGACCGCCGGCAGCGTTCATTGTGACGGTTAAAATTGTTCTACGTACCGCACGCCTGCAACGCTGCATCCTCAAACAAAGCATGCGGTACAGCCCTTTGAGGGCGAACACCGCAGTCTCATCGCCTATTCGCGCAAGTTTGAGAAACCCGCCAAGCCATCTCTGACAAAGCTTAAGTTCCAGTTGCCAGCAGCTCAGTTGGAGCCTCAAGCTCGGCATGCGGCATGCACTTGTGTCTGTTAATTTGTGTGTTCATTCCCCTCTCGATGAGGGGGGTGGTAGCTTTCGTTCGCTGTGTTCTCGATCAGAAAAGGCTTCGTTTGCACGCGCATCGCTCGAGTGTACAAACACACAACAGGAGACAAGCTGTAACCAAGTACGAATGAATGGCATCAGTCTTCTGAAAGTGGCCTTGCCGATACAGTTGGTTCCAAGACCCCAAGTCAGCAGAAGGCCGAAGACTGTGAAACCATGGCAATCATCGTCAAAGGTGAAGGGCAAAAGCAGTGAAGTTCTGCTGCCCTGAACTCCGACTATGTGTGCCTGGAATGGAGCAGCACATGATGGAGGAAGCATACAAAGACGTCTCCCAACAGTGCTCTGCAACCATCGCCTTTACAAATTCAGACGCAAAGGTCAGCGCTGATTCACTTGGTGACGCTATGCCGCTATGCCATCCGAAGGCATGGCTAAAGCCAACCGTGCGCCCCAAAGAGAAAGCGTGTGTGCTGGTCGTCGTGAGCGATAGCTCCACTGCTCTCTTTGTAAGTACTCTAGGCGCGGTAACCTGACCAAAGCGTAAAACCCTGGCCTGGCTTCAATGGCAGGCGGCCGAACCGTTGCCGAGCACAAAATCAGCCACCCTGATAGATCGACGTCCTTGTGTGGTGGTGCGGCAATGAAATCAGCGGCCAATGGAGCTGTATCCCGACGTGGATTGCCTCCGGCGCGGCCTACACCCGAAGGTGACCGCCGAGGCCGCGGCGAAGAAGATCAGGAGATCTGCGGATGCCCTAGCCGCCCTCGCGGGCCAGCCGAACCCCGAAATCGGGTTTGTAAAAATCACTGGGTATGTGGACGCAGAACTCTTTGAGCTCCACTCCGCCTATGAGGAGTTTAGCAAGGCCGTGTTTCGAGAGTTGGAAGATCGAGCAAAGCCACGGTGTCAGAGGGCGCATAGGTGACAACAAGGGCCGGATTCGTCTCATCGGGATCGACGTCCCCATGAAAGACACCATCGGACAAAAGCTCTTGGGAGACGAGGACACTGACACTGTTCCTGGCAACACGGTTCTACCTCAACTTGTACGCTGCCAGTGCACTGGCCTTATCCAGCGAAAAAGGTGTTACAGTACTTTGCAAATAGTCCACCTTAGCTTGAGCTGCACAGCGAATGGGGTGTAGATTTTACCATGCCTTGTACTATAATTTTGTTGCTCTGTACATGTGCTTTATGGGACCTTACTGGGCTCAAGTCAGCGCTTAAATGACCGCACAGGGCTGACTCAGCGATTTGGTCCTAGCTTGTAGCTGTGATACCTGCAACTTCAGAGTCTTGGGCAACTCGGGTCCGTGGTCTCCATCCCCCGAGTGTTTACGTTGAAAACACGAGGAGGCCAAATCCTTAAGATTCACGTGAGCAAACGACAAAAGCCGGCAAAGTCTTGGTTTTACGGCGAAGCGGCATGCAATCAGATGACAGGGGTCGTGCACGACCAGGATCAAAGCTCAGGTCTTTAAATTCGGTCGTTTAGACTTTTGAATCCTAAGACATGCGGGGCTGCGGCTGAGGATTTCTAGCTGGCTCATGGTAGTTCGCAATCCAAATTCATTTTGTTGAACATGTTTCTCGCAAGGGTCAGGCCTTCAGGATTCTATCCCAGTCGTTTGGCCAAGCAAGATCCGGCCTTTCGACCATGTGCAGTGATCCTCCAGGATTCAAGCCCCAAAAAATTTATCTTCTGCAACGGGGTCAGGCCCCAGTACTTTGACCAAACCAAATCCTTGGACCTGACCCCTCCATGCATGTCCACCCCATACAAGAATCGTTGGCAATCTTGACGTCCACCCCGTTTTGAATTTCTGCTCCCTCACTGGCGAATCCAGTGGCTCCGAATTATGGTCTCAGGAGCATCATCAGTTTTCAGAATCCGACTCCCTGTCGCACGTCCCGAGTAATCTTGGTTCGTTTTCCTCTACTGCGGCTAGGGCTAAGGCCCTCAGCTTGTTTTCTTATCACGGACAGTCTCCGACTGCGGCTATAGTGCCCCCCCTCACAATTTCCGATCTCTATTTCGGCTTTGGAAATCGGCTTGAAGCGCTTCGATGAAGGCACGAGATCGGATGGCAATGCAGCGCTGGGAGCGATTGAACAAAGAGCGCAAAGCATGGCTCGAGGCGCCATCACACCTCCTTGTAGCTTCGGAGTGATGTGGCCTGACAGTGACTATAGTGTGCAGGCACTGGACGACGATGATTAAGGTTGAACTCGACAGTTTCCCGCTTCCTAGATCACAAGAGTTTGCAAAAAAGGGCATGTGTCGTCCATATGCTGATGCAGGAAAAAGGCTTGTGTTGGTTTGTGGATGTTTGTGGAGAGGCCAGGTGCAGCATCGTGTATCTCCGCAGCTGAAGGCCCCAGGAGGTAAAAACGAGACAATACGCCAGAGGTAAATCCATTCACACGCAAGCCATGGCGATGGTCTCGAGGCCAGTTCGCGGTTTCCAGTGCGCACAGGTTGGTGGTGCAGTGAGCAGCGAAACCACACGCTTTCGGCACAGGCGGGCGATTCAAAACCCTGGAAAGGGTGTCGCGGTGAAGCAGAAGCCGAGCATCCGCAAGACGATCGAGCCAAAACCCGAGATGCATTGGTCTGTAGAAAGAAGCGCTGCTGGCGGGCTGGTGCGATTGTTGGCGTGAGGTCGATGATCAGCACTGGAAGCCAAGCTGAGTACTTTCGGCAGGCCGCCTCCTCGGATGTTCTTTGCATTAGCGCTTGATGGCCTTTGAACTGCACATTTCCCCAGGAGCAAACCATCATCATCTTCGATTGGGACGACACGACTGTGCCTCAGCTCTTCGCTGCGAGTCCGCAGCATCAATCTCGTAAGACCGTTAGAATTGAAGTGGCCTCGGTGGCATCTCCAAAGATTCCACGGCGAGAGGTTCTCGGAAGGCCCCCACACAATTGTATGAACGCGTGGCCTACGAAGGAGGGTTTTGAAGTGCTTTCTGAGCTTAGGGGTTCAGCGACGCACTCACCTTGGTGACGTTCCTCTGCCATGTCGTGTGCATTTCGATGTAATTAACCACAGACTGTAATAGAAAAGGGTAGCTGATAGCTTACTCAGTGCGATGTGTAGAAGCTTTTGGCAATGCGTTGCTCGTGAGGCTCTGCCCTTCCAGCTGGATCCGTGCAAACAAGAAGGCTATCGGTTTGCACGCTTGTCAATATTGGGAGGCTGCTACCTCGGATCAGTACGCTTTGCATGGTGTGAGGTCTTGTCCTTCTTCAAGCCAGCTCCGAATGTGGAGAAATACCAGAAACCGCTTCGTGAACTGCAGGCAAGTTTGCCCGTTCTATTTGCGTCATGTGCTTGCCAAAGTCGGGGCATTTTGCGAGGCGGCAGTGGAAGTACTGCTGAAGCTGGCAATGAAGCTTGGTACTGCCACGTTGGTGGCAAGAAGAAGACGTAGCATGACAACAACGAAACTGCTCATTTATCGTTCATGGTGCCGGTCCACGCAAACACAGAGCTGTTGCAATCGAAGGTTGTCATCGTAACAAATGCAATGGAGTCCCGCGCTTGGCTAGGGGATGGCAAAAGAGTGATATATAAGCACCATGAGAATCTCACTGATTTGGGGCCCTGGGCGCTTCTTATTGGCTGAGTCCGTGGGTCGAGACTTCCTGCCGCAACTTCCTGCCCTCGCTCCTGCCGCTGGTTAGCACGCTGCCGGTCATCTATGCACGGTCCATCTTCGAGCAGCAAGGCCCCGTGAAGACGATGACGTTTCCTCGAGTTGTGAACACACGCTGCAGAGTCTGCAGATGTCCGCAGAGTCTGTCTGCGCAGGCGTCGACATGGCCCGCAGCCCAAGCAGGCCTGAACGCTGGGAATCGCAGCGACGCAGCGCGCGACTCTTTGCTCAGCTCCAGGGGTTCGTCGCCTCTGAGTCGCCTGGCGATGCCTGGCATGTATGCAGCCAACGGCCAGTGCGCCCCCGAGCACCAGTTCGAGCCTGTGCTTGTCACTTCTTCACGCTTCAGGAACCGGCTGGGTAACATCAATGCAAAGATTGCCGCCCAGCGAGTTGAAGAGACCTCTCCGCAGAAGTGGAAGGAGGCTTGACACTGTGGTCACTGGGTCTGAGTACTATCACTAGTATTACTATTATCGTTTCTACTATCATCACCATTTCAATTACAACCTATGGCTACTGTCACTGCTATTTTGATGCTTGCTTGCCTTCTTTTGAATCCTTGTCTGTTCTTGATCCGAAATTGAGCTGTCTCGTGCGCAGCCATACTGTAGAACATGTGAGCTTTGTGATGGTTTTTGATCACTGTCTTGGTTTTTTGATCCCAGGTCTTTTGTCTGGACCCATATTTGAATTTTGACTGCTCAGCTTTGTGGTGCGCGGGGCTCCCTAGGATTGGTCTTTCTGGGGACCCTTCAGGTTGCTGGAAATCGGATTTCGAGGTGGCAAGCATCGGTCGTGAGGGCGCCATTCGAGTGTGCAGGGCAGGCTCATGGCCCGCTCGTGTGTCAAGTGGGCATGGACCGCCGGCGACAACGCCGGCACCGCTCCGTGTGCGGTACGCTTGTAGGTTGCGTGCGCTTGACTCCGCTTAAGGTTTGTGATGTCCCCTTGCCCGTCTCAGCAAGCTGGCGGCAAATGTTCTCTCGTGTTTCGTACTTCCCAGCGACACCAGACAGCATGTTTGGCCAGTCGCGAAAGCCAGTATATATATATATATATGTATGCTACCCCCCCCCTCCAAAACCCACCCC